GAGTGAAAAGGAAGTGAAGTTGGAATCGACATAGGTTGTGGAGCTGGGAATGTCTGATGTTGTGGTACCGGGTATGGTTGATGTTGTGGGTAAGGAAATGCTGGTGTGGTATGTGGCTGTGGCAAAGGTGCTGTCGGTTGTGTTGGTTGTGTTGGTGCGATGGGTAGTGGAGGTGGTGTGGCTTGTGAATATGGCCAGGGGTACTGCGTGAGGCGTCCAGTAAAAGGTTGGTGAAAGGTCGTCACAGCTGTGCGGCAAAGTCTTCAAAATGGCGGCAGCGACGGCGCGGCGCGGCAGCGGAGACTGCAAGTGTTGAGATCATGCGAGTTAGAGATCGTAATGCTTTTGCTGATGGTGGGTGTGTATGGTTGTTGAGCTGTGTGAGTTGTCTTCATGTGGAGTGTGGTATGTGATGGTGTGTTCATGCACATCGAATTAATAAACTGTTGGAAAGTCAGGTCGGATTGCTTGAGCGCATATGCAGAAACATGCAGAAAAATGCAGAAAAACCTTGCAAAAACGGTACAGTCTGAAACCGTCAGTTCCCGTGGTGAGGCCCGGCGGCCGTGGTGGCAGTTAATTCGGTGGTTGTGTAGGTGACTTCCTGTGGGATTCCTGTGGAAAGTGGCAAGGTCAGTTAGTGCTTGCACGATGAGACAGCGCCCCAATGACGGGGATCACACTCAGCACCCGAGTGGGACGGCTGAGCGAAACACACTCTGACAATTGTATTCAGTTAACTCAGTTACCACGATGGGAAGAAAGGCGAAGAACCGCAAGGTGGAAAAGTCGGCGCAAATGTATTGTTGAAAATTGTTTCCAAGTGGTCGCAAAATCGATCTGTACAGGTGATGCGGTGACGAGCTCAGCTGCGTGGAAAAGGTTTATGGGAGGAAACATGCAACCACCATGAATCAAACAAGGCGGATTGGACAGCTTTTGCAAAAGTTGTGGCAGGTACACACCAAAGCGTCCTTTGGTGCTTCCGGAACGGCAAGGTGGCAAAGTCTGCTGAAAAGTATTGTTGAACAATGTTTCCGACAGCTTGCAAGTGGAAGCGGCGTCCAGTGGCTGCAGAGCGGTGGGAAACCTGTTTGTGGGGAGTAGCATGAAGGACCATGAAAGCAAACCGACCAAATTGGACAGCTTGAGAAACAGTTCTTCTTGCAGGTACAGGAATGTGCGTCCACATTCCCTTCCGGCTGAATCCCGTAGCTTCGTTGGCATGGCTAGGGAAACAGCTGCCATGCCCCCCTGCATGGGAAAGTTGGTGGAAAATCTGTGAAGGAAGTGGCGGTGGAAAACCCTTTGTCCAGGGGTGGACACACACACAACACACAAATCGCCGGCTTCGGCGCTTTTGCAAAGAACGGTGGCACACATACGGTGCCGCTTCGCGGCGCGCATGTGGAGAACCTAAATAGTCACCTAAAAAGCCTTAGAAACAAAAGGAAAGAAAGACAGAAAGAGCAGCGCTAAGAGGGGAAGAAAGAAAGATAGGTGTAGAAAAATGAAAGGTGAATACTTAGCCCTTGACTGGGGTAGGGAAACGAACCTCAAGAACAACCTAAAAAGCCTGAAAGAAAGCCCAACAAACGACGAAAAACGCAAGAAGGAAAGCGGGGGGCAGGGGGGGTGTATGTCCATGTGTGTGTACGTGTGTGTGTTTGAATACCTAGCACTCTAAAGTTACTGAATACTTAGACGAGGTGAATTAGGTGCACTAGTTAGGGAGCGGGACTTTAGTCTTAGACCGCCCGGGTAGGATAGACTAGAGCAGGAACAACACAGGGAAAGGCACCGACACACAAGTGTGTCGAGTACCATTTCCCTATGTTGCCCTAAGTAGGTAGGGAGTAGAACACAGCGGGGGGGGGCCTGGGGAACCTGCCTCATTGGGGGTAAGCACCGTTTTATAGCCCGGCGGCTGTTGAAGTGATGCCGTTTTTGGGCCCGGCGGCCAAGGCATCAGTTGATTCTATGGGGGTGGCCATGACTTCCGGTGAAGGTCCAGTGGAAGTGGAACGTTGGGGTTGTTGAATTCCGATGCAAAAAGCGGCGCCCCTGTGACGGGGATCACACTCAGCACCCGAGTGGGACGGCTGAGCGAAACACACTCTGACACTTGTATTCAGTGACTCAATTTCCACGATGGGAAGGATGGCGATGGAACGGCAAGGTGGCAAAGTCTGCTGAAAAGTATTGTTGAACAATGTTTCCGACAGCTTGCAAGTGGAAGCGACGTCCAGTGGCTGCAGAGCGGTGGGAAACCTGTTTGTGGGGAGTAGCATGAAGGACCATGAAAGCAAACCGACCAAATTGGACAGCTTGAGAAACAGTTCTTCTTGCAGGTACAGGAATGTGCGTCCACATTCCCTTCCGGCTGAATCCCGTAGCTTCGTTGGCATGGCTAGGGAAACAGCTGCCATGCCCCCTGCATGGGAAAGTTGGTGGAAAATCTGTGAAGGAAGTGGCGGTGGAAAACCCTTTGTCCAGGGGTGGACACACACACACACAACACACACATTCAGGTTGGATTTGTCATGGTGCACGTCGCTTACAAGAAAGTGTGCTGTCATCAAACATCCAACACTTCCAATGTTCGATATAGCTTCTTGTTTCTAGTAGCTTCTTGTTCCTAGTCGTACGGCCAGGAGCCCCTAGTAGCGTCCTTGCTCCTAGTAGCGATGCCCTTTGCTCCTAGTAGCGTCCTTTGCATGGCCATTAATGCCAGTGAACTTTCATATTCAATTCAATAGCTCCATTATGCTCCGTTGTCAGTGTGTTCCGCCCCGCCTTGTGCTACACCTTTTCCACTGGCTTGACGGTCAGCTTGGCACCTGGACATGGAAATGCTCTCAGCAACTACCTGCCGGTTCATTTCAAGAAATATAAATCCACACGAGGCATCATTTTTTTGTGTTTTGATATGTGATGCTATGTGTGTATATATATAGTATATATGACATATATATATATATATATCAGCAGCATGGCGATGGCGGCTCTCAATAATTGAAGCAACACACCAGCAACCAAAACAACTGCGTGCGGCGTGCGCACCATCTCTGAAGTGCTTCCCAAACGTCTGTTCCTGCCAATGTTTTTGCATTTGGTTCATTGCAAAACTTAACGCATGCGGATGCCCTATATAAATGCGACCAAGCTGCCAATCTAGAGTGTAAGGTGACAAATTGAGTGCTTTGTTTATCCTTTTTTGCAGCAAAAAACACAGCTGCTCGATGACAACACATTTCTAGAATACAATCCATTCTGCCGTTTTGTAATTTCCGCAACTCTCTCTCTCTCTCTCTCTCTGACACTAAGTCAGCAGCCATGGCTTCATCAGAGAGGCCCCACAAATTGTGCCCGTCAATTTGCAGTATCACCTCAGGGCCCCAGGGCACAAATCAAGCTCTTTCACAAAACACGAGACATAGCAAAAGGCCAGCTAGAAACCTTGACAAGTGGTCGCTTGTCACGATCGTCCAGGGTCATGGCAATGTCAGCTGGCTTTGATAGAGCACCCCAGGAAACCATTAAAGAACGCTTGTCAATTCTAAGTAGCAACTAGATGCAACTAGCAGCTAGAAACTAAGACTGTGCTTCCCTTTGTCTCACTACACTTGAGCGCTCCACATCGCCAACACAAAGGTCTTGGCCAGGAAAGTCCTAGAGGAAAATAATGGCTTAACGAAAAAATACAAATTTATATACACAGACCACAGTGAGCACCATGGGCACATCTCTCACGTCTCAACCAAGCGTAAAAGTACGCTCAACAGTCTCACAACGCTTCACATGTCTTGTCCCAAGCTGTACATAACCGTCCTCAACATTCTCGACCAAAAAACCTTGCTCTGAAGGCACGAGGTCGATGCCTGCACCACTCCTGTAGCTCTCAACGAGCAATTGCAGCAAAGGCCTTTTCTTTTAAGGCCGCTAGGCTAGGAGGATGACTGGATAGCCACTAGCTACTAGTTAGCTACTACCTACTGGACGCAGGATAGCTCACGCAGCACGCACTATTCATGTACAGTAATATTTTGGTCGCTTCCGCAGCACAGTAGCACGGCGATTCTTGGGTTTGGACTCTGGGCGAACTCGCAGGCAAGTCTCGCGCCTACAGCACTTCGAACACCAGTGCAATCAATCATTGCCAAACAACTCAAGCTAACAAATGCTCAGACATCTTGTTGTACAGTAGGCAATTTTGCATGATTGTCGGGCCAGTCTGTTTCCAGTAATTATCTTACTACTAGCGATGCCCTTGTTCCTAGTAGCTTCTTGTTACTAGTAATATGGCCAGGAGGCCAGGAGCTACTAGCCGGTTCTTGCTCCTTTGGAGCTCCTCTCACGTCAACGAATGGATCTTGCTCTTCTGAGGCTCTGGCAGCGGAAAATAATACTGCAATAGTCTCTGCAGCCTTGGGCAGCACAGCGCAACCCAGGTACGGCGGTTTCCACTGTTTCGATTCTGTCACAATCAGTAGAATGTGGACAGCCGGTGATAGAGTCAAAACGGGTAACCCCACTTATCCTGACTTATCGTCTGCTGAGTACAAACATGTACAAACAATATCAAACAATATTGAAGAAAAAGTTGCAAATGTGGCCAATGGATTATGTCGGCAGTTCAGTTTTGGCCAATTTCTCTGGGTCCTCAATTTGGACCAAACAAGTTGAACGGATCATCCATCAAAGCACTGCTCTGAGCATCCAGGCTCTGTGCGAGCCTTTTGTTTGGTCTCTTGATGAACAAAACCTGGGACAGTCTTTGCAACCTACCATCGCACTTGCATTTGAAAGCTTTAAGCCTTTAAGCATGTGCAAAATGTTTAAAAAAAAACAGCTTTTAGGTCAAAATTTGCTCTTTGTTTGAGAACATACTTCAAGTTTGACTGACAGCTAATCCAACTGGACTGCCTATTGGCTTCAGCTGGACATAGTCAAAGCCCACCAGCTCGGCGGACATGTGGAAGTTGCGCGCAAACGTCCTACAACGACAGAAGGTATTCATCATGCCCTGGTTGCTTATGTTATTCTCAGAACAAGTTTCATGATGGTGACAACCACGTGCACACCATGATCAAAGCCTTTTCTCACTAATGGCGCTAGGCGCTGCTGGGCTGAGGCAGCAATCACTGGGTGAAAAATACACAAGTGAGGCAGCACCCTAAACAAGTTGCAAACCCTGACAAGATTGCTCTGCTGTGAGTGCTCTGCATTTCTCCGCTGTCGATACCGGTCCGCCACTTGTCTGGCCAAATCAATCTCATCCAGCCAAAGACCTTCAAAATCTACAGTTCGAACCCTGTGGAACTCCAGTCTCGATCTCAAAGGTGTTGATCTTCTCGTGATTGCTTTGAGCAACGTACAAGCAAGCCAGTTCTCACCAGTTTGGCTTTCGCACCGAGTAAGGCACACTTTTTTCAGGCTTTTGCTGCTGTGCCCTCAACGCTTCAAGACGTGCCTTAGCCTGATCGAACCGGGCTGCTTCTGAGGCCTCTTGTGTTGCAACGGGCGCTTTGGCCCGAAGAAGGCGCTCTCGCTCCTCTGCTGCACTCAATCTGGGAACCATTGGTGTCACCAAGGGCAATGTCTTTTCCTTTTTCTCCTTCTTTTCTTTGTCCTTCTTCTTTTCCTTTTTCTTCTTTTTGTCCCTCTTTTCCTTCTTCTTCTTCTTGTCCTTTTTCTTTTTATCCTCTGAAGAGGACGAAGAATCAGAAGAGCTGGATGACCTACTTCTCTTCTTGCCCATGGCTGAAGCTTCAACGTTGTCGTTCTTGACGCAAAAACATTGCGGAGAAACCTTTGTCCCTTGCATGGTTGCCAACGACAGAAAACTACTACAGTATATATATAAAGAACTACAGTATATCGTCTCACCACCGATGCATCGAAACACGGGAAAACATGTCGAGCATGAAACAACATCGGATGGTACGCCTTAGCCCGGCCCAGATCTGAACCAACTTCCCACGCCTTAAATCCTCTTGAAAGGTCTTTGCCTTCCCCTGTCCAAGCTATTCAACAACTCATTTGACATCTTAAACTCGTTGCCCCCCGAAAGCTCAATGGTCATGTCCTCACCTAAAATGGCATTGCTGAACAAGCAGGAAAACTGAGAACAAGGCAGGATCTTTCTGCAGCACCGCAGAACTTTTCGGAATCTTAAAGACCTCACAGCTGCTTGATGTGCTGGTTGCATGTCAAGAGTTGCCGCTGCCATCTCTTCTTGAAACACATCTTGAGAAAGTGTCAAACAAAATCCTCTTAAATCCTCTTGGAGGACGCTTTGCCAGCGGTGTCTGCCCTCAAAATAAGTATATTAATAAGCCCAGAAACATCTGGATCAGCGGAACCTGGGCTTCAACAATTTAAGCGATTCATCTTCGTTTGAATGTGGAGACTGCGGAAGCCAAACTGGGACTTCAGTAGCACAGGGCTGTTCAACTTCAACGTATATTATGTTGCACTACTTGCAAGGCGAAAGGGACAAACTGATGACAGAAAACGCAAAGCTCATAATGTAGAGACCCAATAGCTGCAATAGCTTGCGACAACAACGGCATTTATTCAGTCTGCAAAGCCAGATATTTTGCACATCTTGCCTGGTGTTGTTCAAGTCTGGGAAACATCGAGGCCAGGACTGCTACCAAATACCTTTCCTTTCCCTGCAATGAGTTTATTGATGTTTCTTGCTATAGATAATATATATATATATCACAAAAAGATCAAAAGGTCAAGCAATTTCCCAACCTTTGCCAGTGTAGAGGCCACCGCGTTCACTTGTTCTCGTTGCACCTGTACAAATAATTGCAGCGAGTTACAGTAAAAACAAGGGTTAGTAATGATTAGTACATGCAAACCAAGAAGGACCTACACCAGAAAGCCTATTCTGGTCACACTGTAGACGTGGCTAGAACATGCAGCTTTTGTCTAAACTCTAGAGAGCCTTAAAAAGTGCGCCTGATCATGGATATTTGAATGCTACCCTTGCAGCGGCCAAGGGTCCATTGAATTGGGGTGCATGTCCACTCAAGAAATACACCCGAGCCTGAAGGAGGCGTGTCCCTAGGAGCAATGGAATGGACGGAATGGAAGCTTCTAACAATGCCCTTGTTAATTTTGTTACTGGTGGCGATGCCCTTGTTTATGATATTAAAAGATCAAGTATTGCCGAGTCCGAGTGCGCTTGAATGAATGAACAAAAGTCACGCGTTCAGCATTGAATCTGACGCTCTTCCAACAAGCATACAAAATCATCGAAGTACTTTGAAAACATGAGTACAGTAAGCATTTGGTGTTTCAGATGTTCCATGGAATCTAGAGCTGCTTGCTGTGACTCCAAGGCGCAGACCTCGGCCGCCGCGAGTCCTCACAATAGCTGAGTATCAGAAATGCAAGCCAAGCCTCACCGACTAGCTAGTGACTAGTGACTAGTACAGTAAATTCCCAGCTGAAAAGCATTACAGTAAGTAGTAAAAAACAAGGCATCTACCCAACCTTGTCACATGGAGGAACAATTCAAAACCTCGCAACATTGGGTTGTTTCAAAAACGACAAAACCTTCTCTTTGTGTGGCACATGCAAAAGCGCTTGCAGGGACTGGGGTCCAGCCTACGATCCAATTTTGTGGTCAAACAGGGACTGCCAAAAAGGACTGATTTGAATGGATTGATTAGATTGCATACTTGTACTGTGTTCGGGTTCTATGCCATGGCTATCGAGCAAGAGCAAACGATTCGTTTGATCTATATATAGAATGTGACTACAGTGCGCAACCATGAGAAGCAAGCTCCTTTCCAGATGGTGGAAATTAAAGGGACACCGCGAAGCTATATCACCAAGGGATGGTTCGAGTCAAGCAGTATTCCCTGGCATGACATTTCATCACGCATTGTTCATCACTAAAGACGTAGAATCAATGATATATAGACTGATTAGCGAGAATGAAAATCAAGCAGCAACAGGTTGTTAATTATTTTTATCAGGGGGTCAAGAGTCAGGAAAATGTTCTCAATGCCATCAAAAGTGATGTACTACTCGCTATTACTGGCACAGTAGTTGCTGATGTATATCTGTATATCAGCGGCGAAATGTTGAAGACTTAACCTTTGGAAGAATAGCATTTCCATAGAGCCGTCCAATGTTAGTGTCGTTTCAACAGCAGCATCATTTGTTCATCTTAAAAACACATCAAGTGCCGTGGCATTCTGTCCGGACGTTACTTGCGGGTAACGTTTGAGGTTGAAGAGAGGTTGAAGGATAATCGCAATCGGTCCTCCGCAGTGGTTGTAGAGGTCGCCCGCAACAAAGCGGACCTGGAAGAGTGAACATAAAATCATCAATTAGTTGCGAAACAGGTAAGCTACCTTGCCAGACCCAGTTAGCCTGCACATTTCAAGAAGTTATTGTCTAGTACACGTCTGCATCCTTGATATGGAGAACGTTATTTGATGTGGTGTTGTGGTCAGCCATGTATACAACAATGCTTATACAACTATAGCCATTCTTGAATAGATTAAAAAATTGTCTTCGTCCAAACAGTGTGGCCGCACTAGGGGTTCTTGCGGTAGTGGTTAACACCGGGTATCTGATCGGAGGAACTCATCAGTGCGGGCGGCAAACTCACTGCTATTTACAGTACACTCATTCACCTCGAGATCTTATATTTTTTTGACTGCGCTTTTCGATTGCGCAGCCTGCGCAGGATCGCAGAAATCGGTGGGCCCGCGCAAGGATCATGTCTGGGTTTGGTGGTCACTTTTCGTGGTAGGCGCGCTGAAAACTTCGTGCTTTGGTGGTCCGTCTTCGTGGGTGGCCCAGGAGGTTGGAGCGGCTTTACTTGATTCGATGGGCAGATTTCGCGATAATTACTTTGGACGTGGTGGTGGTCATCGTGACTTTTGGAGGGGTGGTTCGTTTTCAGAAATCGGCGGATGTCTCGAGCGAAAGCTGCGTTTGTTGCATTTTTATATATTTATGTTATCTTTGGAAGCGCTCTTGCTGCGAAACGCCTTGGCAGGGCTGCGCGACATGAATTTTGATGCACAGATTTCACTGCAGGCGCAGCACTCTGTGGATTTCTGACGACACACGCATTTTGGCCATATTTGGCCATTTCCAACTTGCTCGCAAACAGGCCCGTTGGGCCGAATGGACCACTCAGGTCGGGTTGTTGGCAAGGTTCATGGTACATTGCCACCGACTCGTTGAATTTCAGCCTTTCCACCCGAGACTCGAGTAACCAGCGTCCCAGACTTGCTAGGACACATTCAGAATTCAATTTGCACTTCACATCACGTTCGAGCACTCAACACGCACGATCTCTGCAGAGGGGCGCCATAGACGATTCGCAGGCATATTACCACAGCTTCAAGCATCTGACTCGCACAATCTCCGCAGAGGGACTCGCTTGGTAAACATCGGCCGGACCAGCCCGCCGCCTTAAAGGAAGAGTAGAAAAATGTCGAAGTTGTAGTTATATAGGTGGGCTTTGTAGCTCAACACCTGTCTCTCTGCACGTGTGTCTACGCACCTGTATATCTCACCTGCGTCTCTACACCTTGATGATGCTGCTGATGCTGCTTGTGCTGCTGCTGGTGCTGATGATGATGATGCAGATGATGAAAAAAAATAAAAATACAGTAAGAACAATAAACATCAGAATAAGAAGATGATGATGATGAGGTTGTGTTGTATCAGTTGCATCAATCACCTGCATCTCTACACCTTGATGCTGATGACGATGACGATGACGCTGGTGGTGGTGGCGGCGGCCGTGGTGGAACAGTTGAAGTTGGCAGCCGTTCTTTACGGAGAACCCTTCGCAGGTGCTTTCGTGGAAAAACAGAAACGGAAAATAGTATTTATAAGTGTCGTTTTGAGTTTAAACATGTTTAAACACTTTGTGGACGAGAAAACCTTGAACGTTCAAATACATATGCTATGTATTCCTGATTATTATGTTTAGACTAAGGTTCTCTCATTCTCTCCTTTAGCAACGTAGAATAAATTCTGGCAGCAGGCCAAGCGATGACAGAATCTTGGTTTCCAGCGCTTTGCGCGACAGCTGCCTTCCTTCACCCCTAGAACGAGCCGCTGCGGCCTGAATAGCTTCATCACACCTGGCTGCTTTCATGCAATGATACAAAAATATCTAGCACACGCAAATGTAGATCACGCTGTGTGCTGCATCAAGCTCTGCGCTGTAATGCAAACTAGGCATCCAGGTACAAGAAAAATGCCCTGACAAGATGCGCCAAAACAAGACAAATATCGGATAAGGTCACAAACATGCCAAGCAGAACTCAGGCCGCGCAGGCCGAGATTTCAGGGCCTGCAAGTCACATCACATTGAGTTCATACACGCCTCAAACACTCCAAAAACCCTCCAGTTGAACATCTCCAAACGTTCAGTGATGACTTCTCGTTCTCAACTCTTGACAAATCTTCTTGCCAAAGCAATATAGTAGTGAAGGCTCAACGAATGGTGTGTGGAGAAACGGGGTCAGCCCAAATCGCATATACGAAGTTAGTGCATCAAAAATAGTTTCTACGCAGTTCTACGAAGGTTTCTGGGATTTTGTTGCAGTCAGTTTTCCTACTGGCCCACCATTCCACGAAACGTCCACGAATAGCCCCGGGTTCCACGAATGTCCCGCGCCTTCCACGATGTTAGTAGAATAGGTTTTTGCAAACTCTTTCTGTGCACTACCCTTCCGTTTGCCTCTGAAAAAAGAACATTGAACATGTGTCACGACTCTGTAGACACTGACACTCTTCATCACAGCAGTAGCTCTCTCAGGGCCTCTGCGTCTTGGCGAACACTCACCAGCAGTTCCTCCGCCTGAGAGCTGAAGTCCACAGCACCTCTGATGGAGGCTTCTGCCACGACCTCGTCGAGATTTCTTTCCAAGAGGCCAAAGAAGCAATTTGGAGCTATTCTATCCTTTACAAACAATCATGATCGAAGTAATTAAGCAGACTGTCCAAAAAAACCAGGCTTGAATGTTGTCGGGGAAGGTGGGCCGGGGCTCCCTGCAGCACTTTCGGCTAGAGAGATAGACCTCCAGTTGATCAAGCAAAGGAAAACGGGAATCCTTTGATGACAAAGATGTCGTCTTCAGAGTTGCAAGCTTTGATTGATCCAGCATCACTAAGGTCAAGCGCAAAGTTGTTTGCTTAGAGCCTTTCCTGGCCCTGTGGATATCGTTTTAAAGATGATTTTGGCAGTGCCAACAGATTCCAACACAGTTCTGCTCCTGGCCAAGCTTTGGTCAAACAAAAAGAGCTACAATTCACTGAGTCAATTGTATTACAATATATTATACCTGAGAATGGGGGGAACGAAAGCCAGCAGCCACCAGACGAGAGGGTCATTTGCTACATTGCAAAAGGTTCGGGAGAAGGTTGCGGGGCAGGTCCATGAGGAGGTTCTGGAGAAGGTTCCGGAGCAGGTTCCAAAGCAGACAAGGCTCCAGAGGAGGGCTTGGACAGCGAAGAGACTGTTTCAGTGGCGCTTCTTGCTGTTGGGGACTTTCCTTGGGCTTATGCCACTGATCCAGCTACACCCTCTTCCCAGAGACATAGAGACACAGAACCATAGAGACATAGAGACACGATAGCACTTGTCGCTGCCAACCCCCCAATATATCCAAGGAGACTTCTCTGACAGGATGACTAGGAGGATGGCAGGAACTTTATGTCTCAGCATTGCTGTCACCAACCATGATCTAAAACTATGGCATAGATCCACGACTATAACCAATCCTTAAGCAGCAAATTCTTCACGCCACCAAGTTGCTATCTACACGGGCCCCTGTTCTGATAGTGACTTGTCGCTGCCAAGCCAACAACCATACTTGCGCCAATACATACAGCCAGTATCTATCTATCTATTGATCTATCTATCTATTCTGTATCTATCTAGCTGCGCGGCCAAGCCGGAACAACGTTCGGTGCATGTGGACGCCGCGAGAAGCATCCGCTCAACGGTGCAGGTATAGTAGAGACTAGGATGGTTGCTCTGTACATGTTACATGGGTGCCTGTCTCCACTCCAGTGCTCAATGCCCATTGTCCAAATAGCCTCCACAGCCCTTCGTGATGCTAATGATGCATTACTCGGCGTCCATTGCATCACTCGCATCACCAGACCCCATTTTCACTGCTTTTCTGACCCTCGCTTTGGAGCGCTCTCCCCAGCCAAGCTCCGGGTTCACCCTCTCAAATGGTGCCTTTTCGCGGCCTACCCCCCCCCATCCCCTTAACTCACTTCGTTCGGTCTAAGAGCTCAAGCCTAGCCTATCGGCTGGCTTACGTAATGAGTCAAAAAGGCCAATGAATGAAGTCGAGAAATGTCAAGAATATACACAAATCCTCCGCTAAGGTCTGGCACTGTTGGGCAAGTGCCACAGCTGTTGCTTTCACTGCCTGATCCATTGCAAAATGGGAGTTGCAGAACAGGCCAGCAGTTGGGTCAAATCATAGGACAACAAGTTATGATATTAAATCAATGCTTGTAATCTCATCTAAATTTCAACTACTTATCAACTGTCAGTGCCTTCAAGCTCAGCTGATCTCCACATTTATGTCCTTTCAAAAAGCTTTCTCACCTCGGCGTATTCTTTGCTGCGAAATGCCACCAGTACGGAGTGGGCTGCGTTCACCACCTGCAATGAGTGACTTTAATTAATCGGCTTTGTGTCTGTTTTACGAGCAGTGCGGTATGGACCTGAAGGATGGCTGGTTGGGGGTGGCAAGGCCATCAGGGCTATCAATGGAATATTCTGTACTCACTGTACAGTACTCATCCTCCGGACTCGCGGAATGCAACGAGGATCCTCTCTGCCTTCAGCTTGAAGTCGCTCCCCTCATGCATCAAGTACCTGCGTTGTAGAGTTTCAACTCTCGTGATCCTGACCGCTCAGAAGCAAACAGATCCTTGAGCACAGGAAAAGAAGGAAGCAATAAGAGCGCAGCATCGCAACCACACGTATACTGGCTCACTGGTCGGTGAAGAAAGCCACCAGCGTGACAGATGCCTGGAAGAAAGCCTTGGACTCCAACTGTATTGCCAAGCCCAAAGACATTAGGAAAATTGCATGGGCTAGCAAATCTATCAAATGGCCAATTCCATTGAATTGAAACACTCACGTTGCTCTGCAAACATATACAGTAACATCATATAACTGTAGTGATGTCAGAAACGGTTGTGTGAGGGGAGGACTAAAATAATTCATTAATTTTGGCTGATTACATTGCGACCGAAAATGAGAGCAAGCTGCTGACTGGCACGGGCCAACATGTGGTCACTTGGCAAAAAGGCAACTGTTCCTCTTCTTACTTGACAAAAACCATATCTGACAATCGCTGTCACACTGAGCATCTCTACACGTCTGTCCAAGTTTGCGAAGCAAAACCTCAGATTGACTGTCTCTTAGCTTCACAAGCTGATGAGGAACTGTAGAGATGTGTATTCCTTATATTTACCTTGCATACTCCTTTGACTAACTCATGACTGCGCAAGTCCATTGCTGCCAAAACTATCGAGCTCTTAGTTGATCACTCCAGCAAAGCTCCGTCACGCTCGGCCCTACGCCTTTTTTCTTCACACCTGACAATGTCGAATCTGTGGAGAACAAAACCATATTATATATGGCTATATAAATATATATCCAATTGATAATACAATTTGACCAATTCATACCAAATCCATTGTTCAGGTAATTCTGCCAAAACGTATGTGGAATTATCTGCATTGTTCAACTACAAAAATGTGATTTCAAAAAAGATTGTTCAAGGATAGAATGCCAATACTACAACAAATGGTGAGGCTTGGGCTCTGCGAGAAAGCCTTCCGCCGCTTGTGCATCTGACGAAGCCAACTCTGCCTGTCAAGTAGCATGCACAAATGCAGTGAATCCTGTTGTGTATGCGCCGTGTAAAGGTTCGGTGACGGATTTTGTGCATAAGGTGGGTCTCGGTCTGTTGCTGTCCAGGAAATGCTCACTATACCTACGGACTGTAAAATAGAATGCCTCGCTTTTCAAAATGTTCCATAGTAAGATAGAATGCTACACCCAGGATTTTTCAGTCAAGAGCTGTGAACAGTTAGACTGCTAGGTCTTAACAGTTAGAATGCTAGGTCAAGAGTGTGAATGTTGACAAATCTGAAGATAGAATGTCTAATTTCCATGTCATTGTTTCTCCTCCCTCCCTTCCGTGTTGCAATTTTTGCGATCAAAACAGGCATTCTAACTGTCAGTCTGTGAGTGTGTGTATACATGCATAGATTTGGAAACAGCAAATGTGCCCAGCCTTTGCATGTTGCAAACTGCAAACCTACAGAATAGACAAGCAAAAGGACAGGACAAGGAGGAGGAAAAAGGAAGAGGAAACAATGGCAGAAAAAGGAAATGGAAAGCACAAGGAAGAGGAACAGGAAAAGGACAAAATTGCTAAGAATGGGACATGGCAGCAGAAAGGAGAAGGCGGGGGAAAGGAAACAGAAAAGGAAAAAAGGAATGGACACAAAACAAAGAAAAGAGGAACAGAAAAAGGAACAGAATACAAATAGAAACACGAATGTAGGAAATGTCAAGAACAATGAGACAGGAAAAGGAAGGCAAGAGGACAGGAAAAGGAAAGAGGAAAGGCACATGGAACAATGAAAAGGATAGAATGTCCAATTTTCCTGCCATCGTTTCTCCTCCACCCTTCCTTGCTGCAATTTTTGGGATCAAAACAGGCATTCTAACTGTCAGTCTGTGCATACATGCATAGATTTGAAAACAACATATGCGCCCAGCCTTTGCATGCTGCAAACTGCAAACATGCCGAATAGACACACAGAAGGACAAGGAAGAGGAACAGGAACAGGAAACAATGGTAGAAAAAGGCGAAAGGAAAGGACAAAGGAAGAGAAACAAGGAAAAAACAAGATTGCTAAGAACGGGACATGGTAGCAGAAAGGAGAAGGAAGGGGAAAGGAAACAGAAAAGGAAACGAGGAAAGGAAACAGAAGAACAGGGAAAGGCAAAGAAAAGGGAACAGTTGAACAGGAAACAAATATAAAAGCAAGATAATAGGCAGCTGGATCAGGGCAGGAAATAGCATTTACATGCATAAATCCAGTAAAAAACAGGGTTCGACAAATGTTGCTAACGCTGTTGTATCTGTTTTAGGACATATCAAAGACCCAAGTTCAAAAACCCTGTAAAAAATGCAGGTTTCAGTTAGAATCGGTCCGTCGGTATATACCGTGTTGTAGTATATTTGCACGTTCGACATGATATCAAAGAAGAAGCTGAGGTTGCAAACGCTATTCGCATCTGCTTCCCAGATGCCGCTGCAATGTGCTTTTATGTTTTGAGTCATGAGTAAGAAAACTAGCCGTCACCACCTCCACCAGCAATGCACGGAGGGCATCTTCGTCACCTGCCTTGCAACAAGGCAGCCCACAACAGCTTGAAAAAATTATTGCAAATCGTACATCAATTACAGGTCACTGTCTTGAAGCGTGGAAAGTCTATTACAAGACAAGACATCCCATTCAAGAAACACAAATTCAAAAAAACATCAAACAACACGGTACGGTATAGTAGAGTTGCTTGCAACTCCATGTGAACAGCCTTTAGGCTAAAAACGGTTCAGAAGTGACCAACTGACTCAGTCTCTGCGGTCTCAGCTTCTATTGCCTCCAGAGCCATTGCCAGCTCTTGTGGTGCTTGCTCAGCTCTGCGCCTGTTGTTTCAAAATTTAGCCAGGCAGCTATGGCTATGGCTATCTCCTGCCGACATCATTGTCCTTGCAAACTCTCTCCATGAGCTATCACATCCCTTCCAAAATGTCTTAAGGCGGACGTTGAAAGGCCTTGCGAAGTAGGCTCGAAGTGACTGAATGTTCCAAGCTCGCATCATTGCAGCTGCCTTCGACGCTCCTTCTCTTCCGCCGCTCGCTTCTCAATCTCAAGCCTATTGCGGCTGCTTTTTCATGCAATTGGATCTGTGGGAGCGTTTCATTATTGTTCATTTAGGTGCATTGATTTTGGTGCATCAAGGTCATGGTCATGGCTATCAAAAAGGGTCAATCCGACAACAGCAAAGAGACCTTGAAAACAACACCAGCAAAATCAGCGAAGTATAAATGATTCCGGAACGAGCACTATCCTCATGTATCATCAGTAGAGGGAGCTCGCAATCATCATGTCATGCCCCACTGGCAGATAGTACTACTGTAAGAACGTGTCTTCCATGCAGGAGCAACTCGCATGGGCGCACATGTCACAACGGGAATCAGCCAAGTATGATGATTCCGGAACGAGCACTATCCTCATGCATCATCAGTAGAGGGAGCTCGCACTCATCATAGCCCGCTTGCTAACAAACACAAATCATCACCTATAGATACCTATGGGACCTTTTTCATTCATGAGAGCAAACCAAACATGGCACAAAATCTACCAAATCAACAGAATGAGGACATGTTGCAAATATGAGCAAGGTAGTTCAATCATCCCCACCCCCATGATGGGGGGGGGACCTTTTCATTGTAACTTACATTTTCCATAGGTTGGCACCTGGAAAATGTAATCTAACATTTTCCTGGCAAGACGTAGAAAATGTAATATTACATTTTCCAGGTGCCAACATGCCTGAAATGACCTCAACAGACACGTAAGTTACATTATTAAGAAAATGTAAGTTACAATTAGGGGACGTATGGGAAAGCATGCGCAGATTGCACAGACATGTGAGATCATGTGAGCATTGTTCAAAACCTATCGGGAATTCTTCTTTCGCAAGTTCCTTTTGCAACACTTTCGCGACTTGCGTTTTGGAAATTCTGAGCAAAAACACGTTAGCAAGCTTTGGCGGACGGAACTGATTTCGCAAGCTTTTGCTGGCGCTCTCCCCAGTTTTGGTTTGTCCCTGGTGCCCAGCGTAATTATAGTTTCTTTTCAGGTATGTCCTGCTTAATTGAGTGTACAATCCGGGTGGGACGTAGGGGAACGCCCAGCTTATCCTATCCACTGGGAGGTGGTAAAAGAAATAAGCTAAGTCCCTAGATGCACGGTCTATATTAATTACAACCCTGGGCGAGTCCGAAGGACGAGAACCCGTGGTTGCAAGGTGCCGAACGAACGAGAGCGGGCGAGCAATCGAACGAACGAAAGTGCGAAAGGCGCGGAAGCACGAGTGCGACGAAAGTGTCCCCGACCACAGGTCAGGAGAGCACGGCGCCCTGCAAGGAAACAGCGCGGGTGCACTTGTTTCCTTGAGCCAAGAGCGACGGTCGAAGCATGTGTTTCACATGCCTTAGTGAACCGTAGCTAAATAGATGGACATGTACAAGTAGTGAATAGCCGTTACATAGTAGGGGTTCACAGAAAATGACTCCCCCCTCCCCGTCTTGGGGCAGCAATCCTTTGTACATGCATGAATTACCGCGCCGGGTGGCAGCGGTTTCGACGACCTACGAAGGCTTCGAACTGCTCGGAAGGCTCCTATCTGTCTTAGATGGGACTAAGCACTTTAAATCTGTACGGATGCCAAGCAAGCATAGCGCTTTGAACCACTTTTGTGGTGGCAACGCTTTGGTGAAAATGTCTGCAGCTTGTTCATTCGTATCGATGTACTTAATCTCGACAGATGGGTCGTCGATGCATTCCTTTAATGAACTGAGGTTTATCTTGTGGGTTCGGCTGATGTGTCGGAGCTTTGGGGAAAAACCCTTTCTTACTACCAGAATCGTGGCTTGATTGTCTTCTTGTATGACGAGGTTAACGGCTCGTCCAAGAAGTTTATCCCATAGTTGCAACGAAGGGAGACCTTCTTGATACAACGAATAGGCCAAGCTTACTACTTCCGATTCTGTAGTGGACCTTGACGTGGAGGTCTGGCGTTTTGACACCCATGCTAGTGGATAATGGGTGTTAGGGCCCTTGAGTACTAAGTACCCACCGGAGGTGGACTTCACGTCATGTTGGTCGCCACCAAAATCGGCATCCACGAACAGCTCTAGCCACAGCTCACTAGGATCATCACCGCAGACGGCGGTTAACCTATAGTCTAGCGAGTGTTGAATGTACTGTATTAGCCGTAGCAACTTTTTGTCGTGCACACGGGTCCACTTTTGTACTTTAGTGGCTAGATCGTTGATCGGTTTAAGGATGTCGGGTCGTGCTAACCTGGCAAGCCATAGGGCTTTCATCAGGATAGAACACGCTTTTGGTGCGAGCTCTCCGGGCGACTCCTCATCAGCTGTGGTGAATGCGCCGTCTGCGAGAAATGGCGTCTGGGCTGACTTTATCTTTTCAACACCGGCCACCGACTTGTAGAGGTCGATGGTTTGCTGCGCGTAATCCTTCATGTCGAAGATTAGGGCGTCAGCACTACCGCGCAAAGCAGCGGTTTCGGTGTTTCCTGAATCGGGGACTACCGCGTAGATGTGGTTCCTTCCTAGCATTCTGTAAATAGGCTCGGGTGGTTCAACGTTAACAACATTCGTGAGTTCTGACCAAAACTTTTGGTGGTGTTTTCGTGGACCTGCCAAAGTGAGGTCGTCAACGTATGTAGATAACATTAAACGAGGACCAGAAAACCAGAAGTTACCGGGGAACTCTGGGATCTCTTCGCCACCCATTTTCTTAAGAATGCCCTTCAAATGCTGTTCCCACATCCCTCCAGCGTCGGGGTGTCCGTACAGCGCTTTGACAAGAAGGACCACTGGTTGAACGAATTTGTTCTTCCACCATGCGGGTCGAAGTTCAGGTGGTAGTTCGATCCAAGTTTTATACTTGGATTTTAGTGTTGCTTGGACATATGCTTTCACCGCATCCGCGGCGGTGCACAGGTTACCAGGTAGTGACCCGTACGCGAGGCAAGCGTTCAGCCCTTGGACCGAAGTCGGATTTGCGCCTAATTCCTCATAGACGGCTGCTGCGCCATGTTCGTCCTTTGCGCAGTCACCTCGGTAGACAATTCTACCTTTCTTTTTTTGCCAACTCGTAAAATTTAATGGATGCTATGGTCATTATAGTTTACCGAAATGGACGGAGACGCCGGAAGCCTTAGCTTCAGCACGGACGTGCTCCTTCTCCCTAACGGATTCATACTCCCAAGTACCTTCGTTAACCAAATCGGCTGCCTCGTCCTTAACCTTTTGCAAGGCTTCAGGATCGCTGAGCATCTCGGTGCGGCTTAGGAGCTTGGTGACCAAAGCTGCTACCTGATCTTTACCTTCCTCGGTCTTTGGGATCTGGCAGGCCTCGTGCATGAGAGCACTGATATCCATTAAACATTCAACCATCTGGTCGACAGTGTCATCTGTCTCAACTGCGATGGCCATAGCGTCGATTCCCGACAAGGCTGACACGTGTTTCAGCGTCTGCTCTTTGTCCTGGTGCTCATGTTCATGGGTACATGACAAACATGGCATGGCTGGGGCATGATGGGAAAAAGACATGCTAGGGTAAAGGGCCTTCGCAATTTGGACAGTCATCTGCCTTGGGTAAAATGCAGTACGAGCTGTCTGCGACCCGACCGCTTGGTCATGTTCGTGGGGGTTATGGGCGCATTGGAACTGGGAGAACGTGTCCACGATAGCCCTGCTGGTGGTCATCAGGCGCCACCTCTTTTTAATGGGTCTGCCTTTAGTGGATTTCACACCAACAGCGCACCTGTCAAATTCGACTGGAATAAATTCGGGGTGGCTATCAAAGAAATGTTTTACGTCTGTGCGTTGCCAACTCTCACACTCTTTAGGCCACTCGAAAGTGACAGTGCCTTCCCGAGCTAACGTGAGCTCTGCAGACTTGGCGAATTCGGCAAATAAACGTTTAGACTCCTTAACCTGGAGTGCATGCCTTTTTATGAAGTTAAGCCCCCCTTTCATGCGATTTACCCTTTGCCAAGGGGACCCTGATGCGCAAGGGATTGAGGCCCATAAATCAGGAATCTCATCACAGGTGCTTATATGGTGATGCAACTGTGCTTGCATTTGGGGATCGTCTAGGTCGAGGTGCTCTTTCGAAAGGGCAATGTGGGGAATTCCCATCTCCAGAAAAGTCTCGTGCATTTGCGAATCCGAGGCACATGCAAACTCGAACATGCATCGGCCAGGCCGCGCCTTACGCGGTTTCTTCTTCTTTCTCTTCTTAAACTTAGAAACTTGAGCTGATTGTGCTGTTGATGGCACGCCAAACACCGGGACTCCACTCTCTGGACGAGTGTGAATGAGTTGTGTCCTGTATGTGGTGTGTGGCGAGAGCGATAGCCCCGATATCACAGTCGGAGTCGCATCGATGATGTGTGACTCATCCTCGGCGACGTCCTCGGATGAATCCGTCGGAGGTGCGGTCTCGGGCTCCCGCGGTGGAATTTCCTCCACGGTGATGCCTTCCTTCCTTTTGGTAAGAAGGTCGCGTCTCTCCTCGTCAACCAGTTTGGCAAAGCGTTTCCTACATGCAGGCGTGTGATATCGCGTTTTCTTCTCGCACGCTTTGCACCCTGGGGTTTCGCTAAACCGAATGATGCGATCCAAAGTGATATACACCCAGCTGGTTTTAGGGTCCATGGGAGTTGGTGGGACGGCATCGGTTCCCTCCAATCCAAAAGGGATTTCCTTCATGGGGATATCCGGCATGTCAAGACGTGCAAGATCGTCGAGGACTCCTAAGGAACCCCCTTTCAGGTGCGCTAACTTAACAGAGGCCATTGGAAAACATGGAGGACCATCTTCAACATAAATCTCAGCTTCGGGGACTTCTTGGACGTTGACGTGTTCACTAACTTTGTAGTCCATGTAGTCAAGAACACGAACCACATAGCGATACCGAAAGCCCGCGTCTATTCGCCAACCTAAGAACAAACATGGGGACATGTTAGGCTCTAGGGTGCGTTTAGATACCCGCTTATCACGGTAGTACATCAGTTGACCAAATGAATGTCTCATGCCGTCGAAGGGTTTGCGA